GTTGTCTTTTTCACCAACCGGAATCGCCTGAATTCTTATAGAAGCTCACGGTCGGCATTGCGTAGGTCATACGTCACCCTTGAAAACCGAGACCTAGAGGCCGATCGCAACTCTACGACCAGAATTCATGTTCTCTGTTCGAGCCGTTTAGCGTGGATTGCGGCGTCCTCAACGGTGCAGTAGTGGCGCTTCGAAACGGCTTGAAACACACCCGGAGCCTCATGAGTCATGTCAAGACCTCATCGGTAAGTCAGCTATACGGCGACACGAGTGGGTAATTTCGGAGGATTTCGACTTCCATCTCTACGAGAGAATGATAGATGCCGTCTATATCTTCAGAGACGGGCAGTCTGAACTGTACCTACGGGCACGCTTCAATCAACGGGCGGCCTTAGGGTCGGAATTCAGCTCACCGAGTCGCGAAGGGTGCAAGCGTCTCCCGCGGATTGTTTGCGAGAGTAGGTGGTATTCTCGAGGTAGTCAATCAAGCAATTCAATACAGTGGGCCAGAATCGGTGACTCGACTCCCTCGGAGGTGGGCGGGCAGTTTCAGATCACGAATGGGCAGGTTTTGAGTGGTCGCAAAGAGGACGGGCATGGCTTTCATATATTAGATTATTCGCGGTACTTGGAAAAAATTATGTCGCGAGATGTTACTCCAGATAATCTTCGCAAGGTTGCTTTATAAAGTCACAATTGTCTCGAGTATGTCGCTAGCTATCGTGGACGTAGTGGATCCTAGAGTAATAGCCCGGTAGGGATTTTGTAAGATATCGCTCCGGGCGCGCAATACATGCCATCATCGTCCCGGGATCGTCAACGAACTCGCAGCCTCTTGGGCTGTACTACGGCAAGTCCACCAAGGGACGGCTCCTCAACCGTATCTTATTCGACGGAGTCTAAGGACGAAGCTAGTGCTACAGATGTACGGTTTCGGTTCAGAGGTGGCATAGCCGATTCAATGAGAAAGAGGTCGATCCACCTCGCACATCGCTTTTGAGTGGAGGCGCTCAGGGAAGTCGTAGAAGAGCTCAGTTGCGAGTACGCCAGTAGATACAGGAAGTTAAAACCGAGGCCAGCTGGATATCTCGTCCCACGAATGTCGATCTCTATGAGTGCCCTCCTCATGATCAGTGGGTGAATAGCGGGATCGTCAACTGATCCAGATTCGTCAGCCCTTCCTTCTATCCGCGCCTCCCATGGCTCAGCTCAACAGCTAGGCTCGAAAGAGCTCTGGCTCAGAAGATCTGCGACGGCATTACTAGAGGAGCATGTGATCCATGGGTTTTTCGAAGGATATACCCTCATCGCTTACGGCCGGGAGAAGCAGACCGCCGGATTCGAACCTCCCGCCGTAGACGAGCAAGTCATCAGCGCGAGCCTGGATTTTATCCACTTCCCGGTCTGACCGCCCAACCATGGTTTGGTACTCGTGCATTAGTGCTCTTACTATCCGCCACGGGTAGTAAGAGAAGATTTTCTTGACTCTCTTGTAATTGAGTCAAGGAGACGAAGCTCATGGTAGTTCTGGCATGGATAGCGTCTCTTTAAGATGGGACGGGCGGCAGAACCTGTGAAGCTCCTCGGATCACCCTAATCAAGTATTTGTGGTCAATTGCGAGCTCGTACGTGGGTTTCTCGTGGCCTCGCAGAGCCTCCCGGATATTTCCCTAGACCATTGAGGATGAACCCGCGCGGTGCTCGATGTATCGTGCTCAGCCCAGAGCAGCGTTGTGGCGTTGCACACGATTCCTCCTGCTGAAAGCTGGGCCCCTCCCCTTGTCGCAGACCTTCTCTCATCCTCGGTCTCGCCCCCAGGAGTCTGATCGCCTTGTGTAGGTGGTGCTCAGCGGGGTTCACCTCTGTAATTGCAAGAGCTCAGCTCGAGTCGCTTAAGTGGGGTTCTCTCGTGCCATGTGTGGACACGCTCGGGGGATGAATAGTCACAAGCGATTAGATCCGAAAATAATGGAACCCTGGAAGTCTCGGGAGATATGGATTACCATGAGACTTGGGGAGAGGCTGCAGGAGATCCTGCCGTGAAGGAGAATGTCGCCGGGAGCCTTCATGTTTTTTCCCATCTCGGTTCCTCTATCGTGAAGGGCGTGCGGCAGACGAGCCACCTCGGGACCATCATTTTTACTGGGACCGAAAAACTTGTATTCAAATTCGAAGCTGTTGCAAATCAAACATGACGTCATTGGATTTGCGGTGGAAGACGCTGCTGCCTCTGGGATGGGGTCAGGCGCCTGTTCAGGGGGGTGGGGGGGGGAGAATCGGGCGCCAGTGCCCCGATCGGCGTCTTGCATGTTCAGCACTCCACTTTAAGTGATCAAAGTCATTCTATTGACGTTAAAATTCGTCAATCTGAGTATGACCTCAAATCCCGCGAATGTCTTCGATACATGTACTTGGTGCTCAATTGAATTTATGTAGCCATGCTCGATCCTTTCGGTTGAGAGTCCTTCTGACCTTCGTGATCCAACAAGTGATCGCTGGAAGCATGCCTCATGTGTGATATATGTATTTCCTTCGTGGGATTCAGTATTTCCGCGAAGTGCTCCCGTCTCCTACCTTCATGCCGAAGGTCTCGACAGAACGCGGAGGATGATCGGAGTCTCACAGATTTCGGATAGAACAGCTTCAAGGGTGTGACGTGTGACCAGAGAGAGTAAATCCAAGCGGATTCTCGAGGAAACGAAATAGCGTGGAAAGAGGATGCCTCCAGAGGTCGGAGACGCCCATGATTCGCCCACTCTTATGCGGGGGCTGAGTTCATGTTGTCCGTACATTCAGAAGGGAGCGATTCTGGTTGTTTCTTGAGAGAGTTCCCTCCATTGTTGAGTCGTGCGACCCGGTAGGAATTCGAGATCGAAATAACCTCAAAGACCGTGCATCGCGACTTTGATCAAATCTCCATCAATTCCATCGTCAGGGAATTGTCCCCTTGATCGACTGGTCCAGCCCGATAAGTTGTGTTCCGCCGGTCGAGCCCATCTGAATCTTCGCTACTCTTCTCAAATATGTACATCGCACAAACTCAATATTTTCAGAGGAAATCCTGTATTTATACATTATCCGGAAGTATTCCGGGTGCATCCAGAATCACTCAGGGAGACCTTCAAAACCGCCAGGCATAACCACGTATATTGAATGGCAGATACCTCCGTAAATTCCCTTCCCATCGGTGCATTGAACAATTGGATCCGTTCTGAACAACACGAGTTATCGGGTCGCAAAGTGCCTCAAGTTTCGTTGCATGGAGGACGAAGTACATTGATTCTACCCCCTGAGTGAAATTAAAGACGTTTTCACGTCAAAATGTTTGCTTCATGCTACTTCTGTCGCCGTCTGGAACCGATTCCCGAGTTTTCGGGGCCGCAGTCATAGGGGTCCCCCAAAAAAATTCTGTATACGCGCCTGCAGGGGGTCATTCCGGGGGGTAGGGGGCATCCAACTTGACCCAGATCATCGTCCAACGAGAGCTCTCCGTTGTCGATCTCTGCGCGAGCAGGCATCCGAAGCCCGTTGTGTGGCCGAGAACTTGTTGAGATGATCTTGGTGCCCACGGTGCTCTTCGGGATCTGCGGCGTCATCTCCTCGATTTCAGTTGAGGAGAAACCAGGAATGACAGCGCTGCTAAGGGGTCTCCAGGCAGATTCGTTATTGAAGGAGACTAAGCTCGACACCCCGAAAATTTCTCGGTACCCAGGGGAGTTGGGAGTGGCGCGAGCAATCATCATTCTCTATACCATTTCGTTATCGATCAACCCGAACCAGCTGACTTAAGGGACCGTATCACCTTGCGGGGCTGATCTATATAAACGGAACCAATGCGGTTAATTCGGGGGATTCGAAGCGCAGCATCAGTCGTCACGCATGCGAGCTTCGCGAAGAATACCAGAAGCGCCGAATCGGCTGCAATGAAGTATTCCTATCTCGACAGGCGGAACAGTCTGCGGCCAGCATTTTTGCATCAAGCGTCAAGTGGGATAAGAATGGAGCGATCCCAGCCCATCCCTATCCGGGAGGAGAACAGAATGATTCCGCGGAATCCAGTCCGAAACTGGAGACATGAGCCCCTCTCGGCTAGTTTTTGCTTGCCAGCTTTCCTTACACGCTCCTGACTTGCAGCTCTGATTGAAACAACGGGAGCTTTCGCTGCACGATCGGCGTCTGGCGCATCCAGTAGCTCGAGTGCAGCTGGCTCGAGTCCATAAAGAGAGTTTCTGACGCTTCTGCTTGTGGGGGATCTTCGGGAGATTCTTTCGACAGCCAAATCGATCGCTTGACTATGGATCGCCACACCCCTCACTATCAGATTCTAGAAATCGGGGCCACCTTGAGCCCGAATCCTATCAATGGGTTAATGAGCGACATTTTAGAGAGACATTTCCGCCTCGAGTCGCCGCTTCGCTCGTTCCGCGACGCAGAGCGATCGGGATGATTGACCTTGGGGAGTACCGAACATTTCCTCGATAACCGCCTGCTGCCTGATTGTGATCCTGTCCTTCAACATCGCGAACTGCATCTGAACGGCCTCCTCGGGAAGGACGGGAGCTCTTCGCTTGAAAGTTCCATCCATCGAACGTATACAAAAAGCCCGTTCATGACTCCGGAAGTTCTCGTTCTTGGAAGGAGTCGCATCGGAGCCACCTTCAATTCGATGCCTCGGTATTCGGCATGAGTCCATTTCCGTCATCAACAGTGGACGTGTCATATGGTGAGATGAAAAGGCCAATATTACTTCCCATCGTGAACCCCTGCAAGTCGTGCGTCGAGAACCAAATCGGGGAGTGAGCCGTCGTCCCTATGAGGTCGGCGGCTCTCTTCCAAAATTTGCTCTCTCTCGATCAGCTCAGGGCTCTGGGGACAAGCCCAGGTTTGACTCCTACGAGTTCTCGAGCTCAAGACCGGGTAAACCGCACCGTTCGGAAATCAATGCTCTCCCTGGCTGAATGGTGAGAAACGAGCGAGAGAGAATGCGTCTGAAAATTATCTTTGAGGAGTTTATTGTTTTGTATTCAGATAATTCGCAGCCTCTTGAGCTTCACTGCCGAGTTCGGGGGCGGACGGGTCTGGAGATGGTCGAAGGAGTGGGCTTTGGTTTTGAAACGTCTTCGTTCGCGTCTTCATATTCGTAATCTTCTTTTGGTTGCTCTTTGGGGGGCGCTTTTTTCCGGTGGAGAGTCGCACTGAAAGATAAGGTCGAGTTCGATAATTTTGATTCACTGCGGCTCGGGGAGGCGTTGGAAGCTTCCCTAGGACATCACCGACCTGAATCTGTGGGGCTTCGGAGAGGTGGCTTTCGGCCGCGGTAATGGTGGCTCCGTGGCCTTTATCTCGGGTGGATGTTCATGGCCGAGGTCCGCGATATCTGAGATGGGAAGTGTTCAGAACATTTCGAGACATCACCTTCTTAGTTAGGGGAGAATCGAAGAATCACATTCGATTGCATAAATCCCAGCCCTCAAAAGCTCAGTCGGACTCACTTGCGGGATGTTTGATGAAGCTCGGTAGTGTGGGTTTCGTTTTCACAGCAGGATGGGGGGACGGACGACTTCGAACCTTAAAATGATTTTTGGAGAACAGACCCTTAGCGGGAGCCTCTTCTCCTACTGGGCCGGGCGTGGTCGACGGACCCTCGACAGACGCGTTTTTCGTAGATGGATCCTCCTCAGTGGCGGCGTCGTAGTCGTCGTAGTCGTCATACGCCGGGGCGACCGTCGTTTTCTTGCTCGACTTCCGCTGAGCGTTGACCGTACCCAAACAGATTGCCAGGCTCACGACGATGATGATGTGAAAGACGCGCTGAAAGACAGTCCTTGCTCAACCTGACGCACTTATAGCAATGTTTCTACAAACTCGGAATTGGATCCCAAGTTCCTCCGTCCATACGTGGGTGCAACGCTCTGGGGGATATATTCAATCAAGATCTAATGATTCAACACTCGGGAAACTATATCACGCGTCCGACAGAAGAGGAGTTCCCTCCTCACATCAGAATGGAAACTTCAGCGCTCGTTCTCTGTGCTGAGGCGTATGAAGCCGTATTGACGCACGTCGCGAATCGTCGATACGTCCAGCAATAGCCGCAATCCGACGTTCTGTTTAGCCTGCAGCTCCTCATGGGCGGCAATATCTGCGGCGATAGACACCGTAAAACTGTCATTAAATCTTAATGACATTCACACCAATGGGATCGATGGTTAGCGTGCCGAAAACGCTGATGTATATCAAACCACGAGCTACAAAACTGGTGAAATGAAACGATTGAGAAATACTAACGGCGAGCAGATCCATATGTAGGTCTCAGAAAAAGAGTCGATCGAAAGTAATTCGAAGGCCTTCCACCAATTTTGGATGGCGCTTACTAGGTGTCGAAGTCAGTCGGTTAGGCGGCGCTGGTGGCTCTAGTGTTAGCCAGAATAGTAGGGGAAATAGGAACAGGAATCGTCTTGAATCGATTCTCGATCTACCATCGGACGACTTCATAGCGAGACCAGGCGCATGAAGAGGGATGTAAAGAGTTCCATCGGTAGCTCATGGTTGTCGCAGCGGGACCGAAGTCTCCCTCGATGACGCGAACTCATTGCACGGGGGTCTCCCACATACTAGGAGTCTCCTCTAAGACGGAGCACGGAGAGCACAGCTCTGATTCGTCAACACGGACTTCCGCCGTCCACTTATTTACCTCGTGCGGTAGCGGCTTGAGAAGGGTTCCACGAGAGCTCCGGAGCCTACCCTCACATCTATCAATATTTAGGCGGATCCAGATCTTACCATGGCAGCCTCCCTTGTCCACCGTGTGGACGTCTGACACAAGCGCGCTAAACTTTCTGCGCCGAGCACTGCACCAAGCGATCAGCTCTAGCCCCAAGCTTCGGGAAAGGAGCATTGCGCGTCGAGAATGAAAGAGCTACACCTTCCCGAGCTATCCGTATCTTTCTGCTCCTCCTCCAGGGCTACAATGTCGCCCCGATGGTAACGTCGACGCATTCCTGGCGTTCACCACGTCGGTTCCTCAAGTTCGCATCTCATGACGCGCAATGACGTATCTTTAGTCTTGAGCCTCTTGGCGGTCCGCCGCTCGTGGTGGAAAAATCGCCATTTCAGGTGTCTGGATGGGATATACGAACACACTCTCGACATCAGAAAAGGATCTTATTCGATTCAAGGTCGATCATTCGTTACGCATGAGATGCTCCTCGAGAGAACACTTCCAGTCAGCGATTGAGGGGATTTTCGTACTGGATAGGCCTTCACCGGATAACTTCGCTCCCGGACTGGAAGGGATATACGAACACACTCTCGACATCAGAAAAGGATCTTATTCGATTCAAGGTCGATCATTCGTTGTGCATGAGATGCTACTCGAGAGAACACTTCCAGTCAGCGATTGAGGGGATTTTCGTACTGGATAGGCCTTCACCGGATAACTTCGCTCCCGGACTGGGAGGGAGTTGTGGGGGGAAGCAGCGGACCGCCAGCCGGGCGTGTTTCTGCGCGGCTGAGTTCTGGACTTAAAATGTACCGACGACAGCTCGGTGCATTTCCCCATGTTGGGATTTGAGCGGCAAAACTGTCCGCGGGGACGTTCTCTTCGCCGAAGAATCGTTTGATAGAGTTTACTCACTCTTCGTGTAGAGAAAGGGGCTGACAAGCCGGAACATCACTTTCCTACATCAGGCGTTCCTGGCTCCCAGTATCTTGTGCGGTAGCGAGATCGCCGGCCTCAACTCGCCCATTCTGTACGGACGCGCTCTCCGGAGTCACCCTTCTATTTACCCCTTCTATGCCGAACGACTCGAGCTTCTCTACCCTCAGGACTGGGAGTTCATGTGTCTCTCTATACCAGAATACCAAATGTCGACTCCTCTTGCCACCTGGTCTCCCACCGGATGGCTCGCTTACGGCCCCACCCCCGTTTCCTGATACAACTCTAGTATTCAGTCGAGTTCAATTCCGCATTCTTCTCGGAGAATTAAGCTCTGTGAAATATGTCTTCAGCCTGAATACCGAGTGTTGACGCAGTCAGCCTACCGATCGCTTCCCGAAGAGCCAACAGTGCTGTCTGAGCAAAGATCATCACCAAGCATCTGAGCAATCCTTCGGGGAATCGTCTGCTACAATGCACCGGAGAGCGACGTTGCACTCCGTTGCCGTATCATGAGTTATTCGTCCCCCCAAAATCCTCCGTGCGGATGGACTGATCGGGAAATCTTCCTCCTATACCATTCATCTCCCAATAAGCGCCTGCGAAGCTGAGTGCGAGTGATCGGCGCGGTCACCCGCCGCTCTTCCCGCTGGCTTCTGCAAAACAATAACAGACACAACCATCTTTGTGTTCGTCGTCGCCTGTCGGAGGTGCGGAACTCAACACGGCCGCGAATCGTCGGGACAATCTGCAAGCTCGGAGTCGAATCACCGACGTGCGTTGGCTAAGCTCATTCGGTTGAATCGAAGATGCCGGAGGTGAGTCTTGAAAATCGCTCGGTATACTTTATCGTAATCGTAATATCGAATGCCCACAGCGGCTCAATGACGATGTCATTCGATGTCTCTCCGGTTCCGCCGGATGCTCGTCCTCGTCTCCGAGCACAATCTTCGCACGAGGACACTATAACGGGGCCAAGCTAGCTTCCGAGGAATTCAGTGATCTTCTGCTTCCGCGGAGCGAGTTGAAAGAAATACGCTCCTCGAGTATTGAGGATTTCCGAAACGCTCCTCAGTGTGAGTGGAACGTATTCCTGCGCCCCAACTTCGACGATGGACGATATTTGATCATCTGTTTGGATTTTCAGAGAGATCCGGATGGTGGACGTCTCGCGAGACGGGCCATGAGAAAAGTTGCAGAAGTGAAATTGAAAGCTCGACCGGAATTGGCGGCAAAGACCGAAGACTCCGAGGACTATTGGGAGAAACTAGGCTACGCCCATAGAACCGATCTTGTGGATCCTCGATTAGTCGTCGACAACTGTCCCAGGATCCATGTGAACGACTATTCCACGCAAAGATTCATCGAAGACTTCGAGAAACCCTACAGGCCGGTAGTTGTTCGGGGCTGCACTGACAATTGGAGGGCCCAGTACAAATGGACCGAGAAACGGTTGGATCGGAAATACCGAAACCAGAAATTCAAGTGCGGAGTTGACGACGACGGATACAGCGTCAAATTGAAGATGAAGTACTTCGTGCACTACATGAACAAAAATCTAGACGATAGTCCCCTATATATATTCGATGGACATTTCGGAGAACATCGGCGCAAGAGAAAGCTCCTGGACGATTACGAGGTTCCGATCTACTTCCGTGACGATCTGTTCCAGTTCGCGGGGAAAAGTCGTCCCCCCTATCGATGGTTCATCATGGGGACCGCCAGATCCGGAACTGGCATTCACATCGATCCGCTCGGAACTTCTGCTTGGAATGCGCTGATAATGGGTCATAAACGATGGTGTCTCTTCCCGACGAATACACCGAGAGAGCTCATAAAATTGAGGCCCGAAGAAGGTGGGAGACAGAACGACGAGGCCGTTGCTTGGTTCGATATAATTTATCCGAAAACCAAGAGACCCGAGTGGCCGGAAGAGTTCAAACCCCTGGAGATAATCCAAGGGCCCGGTGAAACGGTTTTCGTTCCCGGTGGCTGGTGGCACGTTGTGTTGAACCTGGATACTACGATCGCCGTCACGCAGAACTTCTGCTCTGTGACCAACTTCCCGATAGTTTGGCACAAAACCGTGAGGGGTCGGCCAAAACTGAGCCAAAAATGGCTCGCTCAATTGCGCATGCTCAAACCAGAGTTGGCGGATCTCGCCGAAGGCATCAATGTCAACGAGGATTGTGGGGTTGCCTCGGATTCCTCTGGAGGAGACACTTCGTCGAGCAGTAGCGAGGACGAAGACGAAAGCTGTTGCTCGAGTTGCTCATCCGATTCTGGCAAAGAATCTCTACTCGAAGTTAGGAGGTCCCTGAAGAAACGGAAGCGGAGCACTGACGAAGCCGAGTGTGTGATAAATAAGCGGACTGAGATTCAGACGTGACGGTGGCAATCGCTATCAGGCCTGGGGCCACGGGCTGTCAGGGCTGCCTACAATAATAATTCAGTTTCACTGAGCACGTAAGACGCGTATGATTTGTGGAGTGTGTCTGTTTCATGACAGAGAGCCAGTGCGGATTCTTCTTTCCGACCGGTCGCGCTAATGCCGCCTAAATGTAAATGTTAAGTTGTGTATATTATATCAAAGTGCAAGAAGGATGCAAGGAGAGAACGAGCGCCCGTACGTGATTGCTGTTCGGATGCATGTTTCGAAGACTATTGCGTGAAACCAAATCATACCAAGTGTGTGCGCGTTCCCCCGCAGTCGGGAGCGGTTTGCAGAGATGTATTTTTAAGCGAGGAATAAAGTTATTCCACGAGATCCATCGAGTCTGCTTATTCCCGTAGTCTGATCCGAACATTCCGTGAGCAATGTTCGGAATGCAGGGAACCCCTCTCCAGGAGGGCAAAAGGTAACATGTCTCCAGGGGAAAAACAGCAATTCCCAGGGAGAAATCAGAGTTTTATTCAATCACCTCGTCATCGTCAGCGACTTCGTTCAGACTTACAACTTCCAGGGAACCTTTGCCCTTGGTCTCTTTATTGATGAGGTCATCAAGTGCACGGAAATTTCCCGGGTCTGTGAGGAACGTCATTTCTAGGTCTCCTCGCTCGGAGATCTTTTCTTCCACAACCTCGGTTACGAGGTCCCTCAGACGGTCTTTGTGTGCTTTTCCATTGGCGACTACGATGTGAAGGGTCATCTGGGTTCGTTGTAGGTCGATCGTATCTTCCAGAGCGCGGATGACTTCGAGGGCTTGCTGTTTAGCCGTTCTGTTCGGCTTGACGGAAAAATGTATGTCTTTCATGGATTTCTCAATGATCGAAACAGGATACGGCCGTTTGGTCTCGGGATTAACGGTCTTGTCGGCCACTATGTTCGCGATGTCTTTGAATGTTGATTCCAGCTGTGTGTGACGTTCCTTCTCAGAAATCTGAAGCTCGCCCTTGCTTAGAATTTCCTCGCAGATCTTTGTCTGATCGTCGGTGCCGAAACATTTGACAAGATCCTCCTTCTTCGCGACCTTAGTGAATAAAACAGATCGTATTCGTCAAATCCTCGGAATTTTCCTTAGCTCAGGTCTCCAAGCCTCCAATCGCGAGGTTTCATGTCGAATCAGCTGATCGTCTCACCTGACCCTTCGATACGTTCGTGTAGACAACTTGCATCTGCAGGACTTCGTCCAGATTCCGCTCGACCTTGTTCCTCCACGACACAACCTTGTTCTTGTAACAGGCAATCTCGAATCGAGTACCGCATTTCTTCATTCGCACGATGGCGACATTCGTGAGTCGAATTTGATTCGTGGGAGTGAAGATCTTGGATTTTGACATCCTCGCTACTCTGGAGTATTAAGGAGAATAGGGAACGCCAAACATTCAATCACCAGAGTCAGGACTCGGCAGAAACTTCAGTGTCTCCTTCAGGCCGTTTCGATCCGAGATAGTAGAATTCCTGATCGCAAGTGTGGACTCCCTCGCGAGCGAGCTGGTTGCAGACGAGTGATCATATTCAGCTCTGACGATGATCTCTGCCTGGAGTAGGCGGGACGAGCGACATTCCCATTTCTTCGCCAACACCTCGCGGGGAAGGGGTGAAATTAACCCAGAAGCTCCCTGGAGCCAGATTTGCCAGTACCCATCGGTCTGAGAAGGATATTCGTATCCCTGAGCTCAGCCGCGGAAATCGAAAGAAAAAAAAAGCAGATGGTGTCAGAGACATGACTGGTCATTTGGACGTGATACGTCATCTGTGCCTGGCGGGTCCAGTGAACTTTCGCGAAAGTTCTCGCGGCATCCAGAGGAGGCAACCCCGGAGGTCGTAGGAGGTGCCGGATAAGATTCCGGATGAGTTGCCCTAGTTCCGGAATTTCAGTGCTAGATATCCTGGGGCCGCTTTGTCAGCCTCGGGTCCTGACTCCTGACGCGATCCCCCAGTCCGATTCTTTACCAGTCACAGGCGAGACGCAACAAGGAATCGTATTCACCTTGCCCGTGGAGTGCCTGTGGAATTTCGTCATCCTGATGCCAACCTTGATCGATCCAGCTGCCGAGCGGTCTGCTTCGATGGATGCGTCACCGTCAACGCTAGAGGCTCATCTATCGTACCTGCTTGGGATCGATGGAGCATACCTAACGCTGATTTCCGAGTCCGAGGGAAGATGTCATCGGAGGCTCATTGTCAGATCAGTGAAGCGGAAAGTCTTCACGACGTGGCAGCAAACAGCCACTCCGAAGGGCGAGGTCGGATCTCTCGGAGGCAGGGAGAGGCGCGAAATCGGCAAACGTGGAACGAGAAGAGGAGGTTCCTATTCGGAGCGCTCTTCAAGAAATGAATTCATAGTCGGAGGTTCTGACCATTGCGATTCTTCTGAGTCTCGAACTTTGTATGTACGACATCGGATCAGCAAAGGAAGCACAACAATGAAAAACGCGGGACGTCGGTCTACAGGAGTGGCCTACAGTGTCCCGGAGAGCGGGGCGTCAATCTATATGCGATAACAGTGGTCCGCGATACCCTCCAGCATATTCCACTTCATAGATCGACTCACGCTCTCGATTCTGTGCGCGGGCAGACTTCGCTCAGGAGCTTCATTCATCACAGGCCGATGATGACGGCGGAGGCATCCTGTCGCAGGATCGAGTTCTCTCCAGAAACCGAGAAATTCTTGGGGTCTTTGGGACGAGAATGAGCAGAATGGAGTTGATTTTTCCCCGGGAACTGGATGCAAGAAAACGCGGTAAACGATGCGAGGAAACACCGCGCTGCTCCACATCGTGACTTCACTCCGTGAGTTGACGTTACGCCGACTGGCCGGAGCGGCATAGCATTGAATGCTCCATACCGTAAATTCTGCTCACAAGGATTAGAATAGAGCAGGTCATTGGAACGCGTACCAGTCATCACCTCGTGGAACCTTATCTCGACGAGGGTACTTGCTCCTCTGGCGGTCGCTTCTCCCCGCGAATCCCCACTTAGAGTCTCCACGAGGAGCATCTCGTCAAACGGAAGCACCGGACCGACCGACGGGAAGGTCAGCGTCCAGGATCCGAAGCAAGGAGAAGCCTCCTGCGACGGTCGCTCCGAACTCGCCTCCTCTTCAGAGTGAGAGGCGGGAGCTTCAAAGATATGCTTGGAATTGTGACGGGGGTTTTCAAGAATGAGGCCCTTACAATCATCCCTGATGATATCAGCTGAGAGAGACACAATTGACGTGTACACGATTCTCCGAAATCGGCGGAGTTTCGACACCTCAATCAGCGGTAAGACACCACAGTCGTTAACCACCCTTCTGATTTCTCGATCAAATTCTCCCGATTGCACTCCGGAACCTCCTAGTTTTGCCTGACGATGCCGCGTCGGACGGGGCACGCAGCGAGGACGGCATAGGAGCCGGCCAAGCTTTTCCCCGTAGGGAACATCCATTCGGATGTCCGTGCCGAATCTGGAAAATTCTGACAAAATAGATAATATACACTATTCTGAGCGCGACACGTGCATGATTTTCCACGAGAACTCTCGCTTTCCGCCCGCGGTGTTCGTATAGCGGAAAAATCGAAATTCTCTCTGAGCTCTTTCATCCTCTTCTCTTTGGTCTCGATCTTGTTGTCGCGACGAGGCATTGAGATGGGATCGGATAAGCCATCGAATCCCTGAGCCCTTCTCGGAATTCTAAATTGATCCGCCGGCTCATCGGTACGCGGGTCTCTTTGTCAACTCCATTGTGCGTCTGATTGTAACAGACGAATTCCCCAATCGACTCATCCTGCCAAGTCTTCGGATTCGACGAAAAAGAGGCTCGAATTTCATCGACTCTTTCTATGTTCCCTCTCTTGGCTTACGCGCTCGCATTCCAAGGAAGCGATTGCTGTTGTAAGCTTCCGTCGCGAGGGATCTTCACTTTCAATTCGCAGTTTCCCTTCAAATCTCTCCGATAGCAGCCAGCAATCAGTCACGAATCGTAGACGCTTTTCACGTCATTATCAGTGCTCCATGAAATCTTCGGGAATGGCCCTCATCGATAGCGCCGAACGCACACTTCTCCGTGATCGGTCCTGAGATCAACTCCATCATTCTCTGCTCTCGAAGTCTAATCTCGAGAGAACAGCTCTCTCGAAGCACCCCAGTTGTTTCTCTCGTCGCCAGGGGGCGCGACCCCATCGAGCGCATGGTCACCAGGAACCTCCTCGAAATACGCGGGCGACCCGCGGTACAGCACTGTTTTGGTTCTGTCTTCTTTCGGTCCAATCGTCGCTGAGACGCCCGATGGAGATCTTCACTCAGCTGCTCACTTGGACGCCATCGATGAACATCTTCGAGTCGCGTGTTGTGCTCTGACTTCAGTGCTGCCTTAAAATTAGGAACAAAGTGATCGGTGCAGAAATCCTCCACTGCAAGCTATGGCGGACTCCTTCTGGCAGCTCACCGAAGGTGCATCAAAATTCTGTCGGGACTGTATGGGCTCCGTGGGAAAACGGTGAGTTGGGAGTGAGCTCCAAGGAGAGCCACTCGATACGGCGCGAGAAGTCCAATTCTGCGAGACATTCAGCTCCTTCTCCTCCGGTTCAGCCATCCAAAACAAAATCGGATGCAAATTCTCTTCCACCCGACATGCATGGGCTCCTACCACATAGTCCGATCTTGATGAATCCTTCTCTGATCGGGTTCATTGCCGTTCGAAAGGTCGATATCCAACGGCAGGTAAGCAACAGAGCTATCTTCTGCCTCCGATACCGGATCTTTGACTTAAAACTCTCCCATGGAAAATGTGTCTCTCCATCGAAATCTTCAGTAGTGGCGCTGAGTCGATGGCTGAGTCGAGCAGAGACAGCTCGATCAATGAGGTTCTGAGCATACCGGGATCACATGAGTCATATGGGGCGGTCGAACAGAAGCATTCTCTTAATTGAGAAGCTGTGGGTTTTCGTAGCGACCCATCTCAGGGAACTTACTCTTCGCTTCATGTTCGGGCATGATTACCGTGAGACTTTCGCCGTGCCAGGGCTCTCGATCGGTAGCAGGAGAAGCGGATGAGCGATGAGAAGCAGGGACCAAATATCATTCAAACGAACAAACGGTCTCGGGGAATCGATAAACCCATTCAGATAGAACAATCGAATATTGTGTTCATTAGGTTCAACTGCGATGGATGATCATTCTTACAAATATCCGATGTCGGCTTCCGATTTCGAGAGAACCCCGCACAAGAACAGCTTGAGCGCTCAGGCTGTCTCGGTCGGCTCCCACGAAGAACATCTTGGGTCTTCATTCCGGGCTCGCCCGACCTTGTTATGATGCTCTCCCGACCTACCCATCACGAACAACCGCAAATCGAGCTGTTTCGTCTCCCAAGGATGACTAATTAGATCCATGCATGAGGGCGAATCTTATGAACATATGCTTGGGATTGCACAATCGGCCTGCCTTCCGCTAAGCGACAAATTCAATGATTTGGAATGGAGTTGTTCTGCTGACGAGCGAGTGCGGATTGAGATTCGCATCGATTTTCTATCAAGACTGAGGTGTGGAGTCATCGTACGGACATTCATACGCGTTGACCGCATTGTTCAATATTTCCAATGTCATCTCCATGGTCACTGCGACCGAGGCCGAGGTTGTGAAGTTTATGGTCAGCTCCATCGCATTGGTTCCATGAGTTTGTGGTTCTCTTAGGAGGCGTAGGGTGAGCTTTGCCGAGAAATCCACAAACGGGTAGTCGTGCGATTGCGGATACTTTTAATTGCACCGAGCTCCGGTACCGAAACGAAGTCCCGCTGAGCTGAATTTCGTGGAACACTGAAGTATGACGCCTCCGTCTAGCTTGGTGGGGATGAAGTTCAATAATTATCCCAGTCAGCCTGATCGAAAAATGCCGATTCGCGGAATATCTCAGGCAGAGCCGTTCTTCATGTGTTGTTCTCCGGAGAGAGCGTATGGCGGGAGCGATTCGTCGATCTTCGGGAACAAGAAGCTCAAAGGAGCGTTCCTCCTTGTGCCACGGTAATCGCCTAGTGGAAGAAAAACTAATTAAACCTAGAACCTGCACATGCGAGCGCGGCGGCCCTTTGCCGCTCCACTCTGGATTGTAATAATCAAGTCAAGTGGACAGTAAGCGAGCGAAGGCGAAATCATCACAATAGAACGGAAGGGGAGGGTCTAACAGAGTGGAACAAGCGTTGAATTGCGGTTACCAGTTGATCGGAGCCATTGGCTGGAGTCATCGACGCTTCCAATGAGTTCTTCAGAAGTTATCTTCTCCGCGGCATCAGGGACAGGAGGTGTTTCGCGTCTTTTGCCGACAGAGATTCGATGCTTTCGAGGGAAGGACCCTCGGAGAGCATCGGGTGTGTTATTCAGGATCCGTCAAGATTAGTTTAGCCGATTTCCTCCATGATAGGTGAGTCCAAGCCGCCTTGGAATTAGCAGACTGACGACCGACACGCGGGTCCGCGACAACACATATCTGTCTTCTCGAGCTCCCGGTTCCCGGTCTTCCGGGTGGGACCAACAAAGGGAAGTGATCTGTATTCCGATCATTTTCGGGAAAAATTGGCTCTGGCGGCTCGATAACCGCTCTCTAAGGATGCGGGGAGATCGGAGTTTAACTGCGATCAACGCGATAGTCTTCGCAGAATGCAAGTTTTCCACCGACTTCGAAGGGATCGCTCCCATCAGGCGCTCTAGGGTGCAAGCCTGCTTAGATGTTTCTCAGCAAGCTCGTCTCCATGCGCGCATCGAGGGCTCCCGATAGCGGACAAGAGCCTTTCCAAAGTCCAATGTCCATAGCCTGTTCATATGCACATGTGTCTGTGCGCGGAATATTCTCGCAAAGAGTGGTCTTTCCCGACGATCGCCGATGACTTCGAGCGGTTGGCGATCGAAGTTGCGAAATACTGATTATTATCAAAACCGATGTGACGAAACCGAGAAGTTCCTTGCGCAAACGCACCCTTATCGAGATTGATCCCGATACGGGGTGCTACGCGAAACTCGTTCCGGGAGGACTCCTCATCAAATGAGCGGGAAGTTATTTCAAAAACCGAGCGTACATGTAAGCGAACTTTCCAAGGCTGGATGGCCTTATTCAGATTGAGCTTCCGACTGGATGGCCCGTCAACCGATCGCTGCTTGCCCGCTAGCAAGGGGGCCAACCTGAACTCCGTCTCCGAGCCGGGTAGAGGCGCGCGGATTGAACTACCTATGGCATTATTGCGTATGACGATACTATCAAATGCGACTGTCCGAGCTCACGGTGCGGGCATGGTTCCAGAAACGAACCTAATGAAGCTTCCTCTTCCGAATCGGGAGAAGACGCTCCTGAATGAGTCGAACAGATGATCTGTGGTCCTCGCTTAGCGTGTACCTTTTTATACGTCGGGCTTCCCTTCAGTGTGCTCGAGCGTGAGTGTATCGGAACGATAATCCTGGAATTCGGCGACATCTGACGCTACAGTATGTGGAGTCTCCTTCTCTCCTGCTCCATAGGACAATGGGCTGCGTCCCCTTTCTACGAGCCGAAAAGCTCCAGAAAACGCTGACCTTGAAGTCTCGCATACGCGCGAGTCTAGATGGGCATGTCATCGACGTCGCGTCGCCGATGCTGCCGCCGCTGGCATGGCGCGTTCTTTATGAAGACGGCTTGTAAAGTTTTCGAAGGTGACATGTTCCGGATGAGAGCCCCCCGCTCTCGCTGGCATTTCAGGCTCTATCGTTTCTTCTCACTCTGTGTTTATTATTCTCAAAACCTTGACTTTGTCGCGAAGAGCGACCGTAGACTTTTCATCTCGAGACAAATTATCCGGCCATCGCGAGGTTTTAATCGAAACCCGCGATACAAGGGTCGTCGACGTCTGACAGCGTGAACGAATTGTCAAAGAGATTGTCATCGCGTCGAAAGCGTCTTCCGCCCAATCAGTGCTGACATGTTCAATTGAATCTCAGAACGTGGATGCGTTCTTTTTTTGTTCAATTTATTCTACTTCATCGCTATTGAAAAGCAGGCGTCGTTTTCTCAGATTCTCAAGTCGTTCGAAAGGATCGCCTCCGAGTGTCTCGAGTTATCTTCCCCGCCAGCTCGAAGCTGAATAGCCGCAAGCTTGGCAGCTCGGAATGTCGCTCATGTCCCATTAAGTTTCACTCTCGTTCGACGCTCGTGGATCGTCCCTCGCAGTGGCGGCGGCGGCGGCGCGGTAGAATTCCGCGTTCGATGAGGGTAATTTTCTCGGATGAAAGTGAATGTTGAATAATTATGAATCTCTCCGGAATCGTGTCGATCCGTCTCCATTGACGCGTTCGCAGTCCACGGCGTTAGGCTAAGACTCAAGTCTTACCCGCTGAATCGATCGTCAACTTCTGTCCAGGGACCGATGCGAGGCGACCGCGCGCATCAGGAGTACCATGGCACAGCCTTCAGTCCTTCGACGCTCGTGGAGCGCAGCGCTCCTGGGCTGTAGCATGTAGTAGGATGGAATTTTCACGGTCGGATCGGGTTGCCCTCCGGTTGGCATCGAATAGTCCCTGAGGTCGGACTATCCTTGTGGTTGCCGATTTTTCGTGCGGTCCACGTTCTCCTCGCCCCTAGCACTTGCCCCTGACGCTGTGCCGACGCTGCGCCGCTGGTCGGCTAAGACGAAGTGCTCACAGCCCCCGCCGCTGTATGAACGGCGGCGCTGAGCGGTGCCAATCTTCCAGTTGTCTGGCACAGAGATTCCGGTTGAGTTGCGTGTGTGTGCGAGTGCGTCTCTGTGCTCCAGTGTGCGCGGAGGAGGATGCCGTGTCCCTCTCCTGAAGAAGATCATTCGTGGGGCGAGTCGGTGACCATTGATTTCCGTGATTCGCTCAGGAGACGATCGACTTCTTACAAGGATACCGACGCATAGTGAACAGAAGCTCATCGCACCGTCGTCGGCGGCGGTGGATTTCGAAGCGCCGGGATGCCGCGACATGTGTTAGCGATCTCCCCGGTGAAGACCGTCAGCGGCGAATTAGAGGATCAATGGAATCGGTAATGTTTCCAACTTGTTCCTTAACGTGCGCGCGATTTTCCGTTGCATGAATAATGATCACACGTCGATTCTCAACGGTGACGAAATAGATCTACGAAGTGATCGGCGATTTTCCCGGCGAGAGCAAAGCGTTTTTGGGTTTCGAACACTTTCGCTCAACGGTCGGCGCGACTGATGGGACGGGAAAAGCTCCTGCGCGGTCGGGTCGCAGGCGCTCATGAAAATCACGCCGAAAATTAGAATGGACGACGTCTTGAGCGTTCTTTCGATGACCGCGGCGTTCAGCCTGTGCTCCTCACACCGTACGTTTCAAATTGCGCAGTGCGAATGTACTGCTATATTCTAGTGAATGTCAGTCGCAAATAAGCGAACGAGCGGCAGGCGACCGTGGAGTTGCGTAACCAAATTGTGGCAGAAAGGAGAGGAGCGTCATGGTTTACCAAGCTTCGCAAAGCTACATTTGAACGACGCAGCCACGGCTGGAGCCCCGACCCGCTATTCAAGTTCTTTATTTACTCCCTGTTTTTTTCTCGGCTTCCTTTTTCTTTCACGACAATCAATCAAGAGCTAGACCGCAACCCCAAATCCCGAAATAACAGCCGAATCCTAAGGAGAACGAGGTGACGGGAGGAGAAGTATCGTAAAGGGTTCGATCCCTTTGATTCTACTCCCAACAAATACTGACGAATAGAAGATTTTGAGCTCCTCGCTTTCGACGTTCGATGTCAATGTCGAACCCGAAATAGCCCTGCCGCTCGAAGCACAGATATGAGTCGATCGGCGGCAGTGTCGGCGTATGGCGTCTATCTATTGCTGTAAGAATACTTCCGCTTCCCATGAATAACTCGAACTGGCCGCGTGTCAGGGGCTTGGCAGTACGTCCTCCGCTCATTATACCCGAACTCGAAAATCCACGAAGAGGGCCTGATGCCACAAGTTATGGCGCACCAAGTTCCTCAACGATAAGAATTCGGGGCAAGGAAGGAAGAGAAAAAAAAACATTTGTCCAGGTGTTGGCTCCATGCATGACTCCATTTGAACGAAGATGGCTTAGTTTACTGTCCTTTTTTTCTGGCGTTATTACTTTTGAAGCGCACGTACATTCGTGCGACGCTGTAACCGCGCGGCGGTTCTCGTCTGTCCGGAGATGTTTACATTGGGCACTGCGTATTTGGGTTGACTACCCGGCCTGGCTGCTCTCAAGAAAGAAGCAGTGAAAAGAGTCGGCCGAGGCTGAAATGAAGGTTTGAATGCGCGCCCAACTTCGCCTCCTAGTCCCGAAAGGCTGACCGAATGAAGCGAGTTTTCGACAGAATAATTTGGGATTGCGTGTACTTGAGCAAACAAGCCGCAGCCTTAGATAATGGGTGAGTTGGCTTTACTATCACTGTATCGGGTTTCACTTTCTCGAAACACGACCATCCAAGAACTCTTTGCCTCTGTTGGCTTCAATGAGATAACCACGGATCCCAGACCGAAAAGCGTTCAACCAGGAAGAGCTCGATTCTTTTTCTTCGAACAACTCGAGTTCCTTTGAACTCTTCGATCTCCTTCGGGAGTGAGCTGCTCGCTCGATATCTCCATTCCGCTCTGCATAATCAGCGTAACATTGCTCTAACAGCAGGCGAATGATGAGAATCTCTCTCGGAGGCGATCGAGCCCGGGCAATGATCGAATTCGCTGAGTTGCGGGTTGCGGTCGAAGTTCCGGATCTTCTGAAGAAAACGAGAGTGTCACTCAGAATTGAGCGGAACCGCGATTCGGTGAATGCATATCTCTGTGTTACATTTTCTCTTCGTGGGAGTCTGACCGACTGCCTGTGTGCCAGTCTGACAGGCAAACTGAATGGCTGGCGGACCAGCGACACCTGAAGCCACAACAAGCACCCGGTGTCCGAAAGCTCCTTGTGCAATGTTTCGCGAAGGTCGCTTTACACTGCTCGAAACTATAGCTAGCTGGCTGGCTAGCTCACACGATCATTGGCTGCTCGGATCGCTTGCTCAGTTGTTTGATGCTGACTAAAGAATTCTGGAAGTCGGGCTCCGTAGGCAGGGGCTGGGAGCGGGAACCTTATCTGGAATCCATTGAGTAGTTCCAACGATATGGGAAGGATTCAGGGTCGGGAGAAGCTCGGGAGCAAAGCTAGGCGCTGTCCTCGAATACCTGCGGGAAGATATCGTCGGAAAATGCAGAGAAAACGGAGGCAAACCAATCTTATCGTCATGTGCCAACCAATCTTGTGATCCTTGACCGTTGGATTTGTAGACAGCAGTCGACGGCTCAACTGCCAGCCGGTGGAGTGCGTCGTGCAGGCGTCGAATTTCATTGGTTTGTTTAGAAGAAAATATTGACTCGGTCGTCTGATATTACTGAATATTAGAAAACCGTGGAGTGGAACAAATGCCCTTCGACTTTCCCTTGGAGAACTTCCGAATCGGTTATGCAGATCCGACGACAGTATCCAAACCTAGATTTCAAAATACTAACAAGTAAACATTCTTCTTTGAAAATGACAATCGCCCGGTTTGACATGCTTTTCTGAAAGTTTCCGAGCCCCGGAGCAACCCCGAGTCGTTTTTCCCTGCTGTCCTGCATTTCATACCCCTTTCCTGCGGGCTCCGAAACGCGGAAAAAACACCATTTACATTGAAATCCGGGATATTTTTCTCGGATTTTGATGGGATTGTTTTTTCCCCAGGTTCCGAAGCCCGGAAAGACTCATTCCCATTGATATCCGAGCAAAATATCCCGGATTTCGATGTAAATGGTGTTTTTTCCGGGTTTCGGAGCCTGCAGGGAAGGGGTATGAAATGCAGGACAGCAGGGAAAAACGACTCGGGGTTGCTCCGGGGCTCGGAAACTTTCAGAAAAGCATGTCAAACCTGGTGATTGTCATTTTCAAAAAAGAATGTTTACTTGTAAGATAGCGATCTGAGATCGTAGTCATCGAATCGACACCTCTCCGGCACCGGGTGATCGTCCGTCTTTGGGAGCTTCGAGCCCTCCCGATTTCCGGAGCGACATCTGTCCGCCACGAGAAAAATCATCGAGTCGATAGACGAGAGGCGTCTGACGTCAATGCACTTTTAGCGTTCCTTCTGTATCGAGCGTCGGATCTGGCTGAGGATTGACTCCAGAGACTCCTGGGACTGTGCACACGGCGTGGCTCATGGTCCTCATCGGATGATTGCGACCAAAAAAATTCGGAGGCGGCGCGAATCCCTTCTAGAATCTCAAGCTAATCATTGGAACGAAGTCCAGCGCCCCCTCACGCTCATCCATGAGCATGCTATTCGAGAGCCACATGGAACCTTGATGTTTAGAAAGTCGATGACTTGAGCTCCGCGGAACTCCGAGAATTCAGCGACTTTCCGTGACAGCACTCAGGTGAGCGAGGTGACGTCTCCCGGTGTTTTCGGAGACGCTTCGCTGGTCAGGGGAAAACAGGGCTCATCTACGATTTGTGACGTCTTCTATCCGGTAGCCTGATCTGTTCGTTTCCATCAGCGTAGGGAATTCATGAAGGCATTTGTTCTCTAGTGCAAACTATTTGTAGTCGCAGTGCCATGCCTGTGATTGGCTGCACGATAGGCTCAAGCTCATTGCAACTCAAAGTCGTCCGGAGATCAGCATGTATTCGTTTCGGAAATGTAGGCTGCATGCTCCCGAAATTTCCACCTCTCAGCCGAAAAATGCGATTCGTTTCCGCACGGCCGGAAAGTACCGGGAATCCCTCGTATCAGCTGTATCAGTACTGTATCAGCTGTTCTGAACTTGAGACAAGGATAATGAATGTCTTTCGACGAATATCTGAGAGAACTTACCCGAAGTCCGATGAGTCCGTACGGGGAACTCCAAGGAGATAGAGAATACGAAGGCTCGAAATATTGTAGTCGCATAAAGAGTCGGGAAAATCACGATGCCGCCGCGTCAATCGGAGTCATGTCTGGTTATTCCCTCCGACTTCTCGAGTGACAAGATTTCCCCGGGTATCGATGTTATCGAGGCTCTGTCCAATGGTTATATTTTCGAATTGACTCGCACAGTCTTTACCGCCCTCCTGTTTCCGGTGATTCTCTAAAACAAATTAATCTGCTAGGTGAACCCGGTCTGAATGAATCTGCTAGGTTTCGGATGCTTCGCATGCTTAGAAGCAGTACGGGTTCGATCCTCTTAGCTCGTTTGCGTCAAGATTTCTCCCTGGGTCAGTCAATCTCCAGGGCTTCCTCCTTTTTCCCAGAAAAAATCCCCGTGTGGAACGTCAGCGAACCACATTCTCATGCCAACTTCCCGCGCATCTTCCTCCGGAAACCCTGTCGGGTGCTCGAAATGATTCTCATAAACCCTCTTATTGTTCTAAGGCTGTTGACGATTCGGACTGTCGCCGAGCCTTCCCAATCAGTGTCAACGAATTCTAATCATATGATGTATCTAATAATGTTAGAAACCGAGTAATCCCGGTGGCCGAGCTCGCCCGGCTCATGCAGCAGTGAGGGCACGAAGGATCAGCATATTGAAATATCACGGGGCCTGAGTTCCGGGAAGACTGTAGTTGGGCGCTTCAACGATAGTTAATGCATCGCAATTGGTGGAAGCCTGACCTTCGTCGGGATAGTGAAGGAGCGCATCTCGAGACTTTTCAAATGACGCTGATTCTTCGAGAACTCCGCAAATAGTTCGTTTTCAATCCGTGTCCGACGATTCATTCCGTCGCCCAACTCCTACGTTTGAGCGAAGGAATCTTGTCGCGAGAGGAAATAAACAGCCGCCGAGTAGGACAACTGGAACGATCCTCAAGGCGCTCTCCGGATGGAGGATACAAGACTCGGGATAGCTTTCCTCCAGCCTGTGACGCCGGCGTGAGCCGAAAAAAAGAACGAGAATACCTTTTACCTATACTTCTTAACATACTTTTCTTACATCGTTCCAGATATGATGCCATGACGGCGAAGAGCCGAAATGTCAAAACGAAAGAAAAAATCGAAAGTACCACATCATCCTCGCGATGCTGCTGTTTCAGCTATAGAATTTGTTGTGAGTATATTTCATTCCTTTCACGAGCCGGACACTATTATTTATGTGGGTATTTCATTCTTCGGCTCTGAGCATCGTCCTCTGACGGAAGTCCGTGAGACATGGTTCGCAAAGTTGCGACAGAATTTCTTTATATCGGATCGGGAAATCTCATGCGAAGTCAACAATTCCTTGCCTGTCCAGGAGACACGAAGCCAGAATCTCCAGAATGAGGAAAAAAATCCCGGTGTCCATCGGAAACTAGAGCCTTTTCCCTGAAGGTTGTTTTGGTCTTGATGCTTTCCGATCCATTGCACAAGTCCCACCTCCGAATCGACATAGATTTCAAATGACGTGAAGAAAATGAGTCACTTGTTGTGGAAAAATTACCACATTCGCACACGCAGCTCCACCAATCCACTTCCAGGAATATCTCGTCCGATTAAGCACATAGACTCTAGAATGCGCCGTCTCCCACATTGGGAGATCCATCGTGATGTGGTGACAGAGAGTCGTAACTCCGAGCTCCCGGAAATGATAACTCCACTTTCCATTGCAGCCATCCTCCTGTTAATTCTTGCGTGCGTCATGACGGGCGTCGCGACAGTATTGTTTACGCAGTTCGACAAATTTTTCGACAACGCCCTCAGAGATCAGATGCATCTAGGCCCGAACGGACTTGTGTTTCCCGCCTGGAGGTACTCGCATTGGAAAATTTGGATTCAGAACTTTCTGCTCCTTGCCATGCGGACATTTCTAACGCTCTCTTCTCCGTATCCTAGAGTATCCGAGCTGAGGACGAACATGCGATTGTATCTGTTCAATATAACGAATCCAGATGAGGTGATGCTCGGAGACAAACCGATCCTCCGCGAGATCGGCCCGTACACGTGGAAAATCCACATGGATAAGTTCGACATCAACTTCTACCCGAATTACACACTCAGTTATCGCGAGAACAAGTGGTTCGAATTCCTTCCTGATCAAAGTGTAGGAACTTACGACGATATAGTGACCACGGTGAACGTCCCTTATGCGGTAAGTTCTGCCCCCGGATCCAAACCAGGAAATAAGAAACCGGGCCAGATTTGCTGTGCGAGTCGTCCCCTCCATGTGATCGAAACGATCGTTTTCCGCAGGCGGTAGCTCAGCGATTGAAAGGCCAGAACAGTTTCGCAAAATCGACAGCAACGTTCACTCTAAATGGGCTGGGTCAGAACCTCATGCATTATCGTCGTGTGGGAGAACTGACTTTCGAAGGTGAGTCGGAGGTTTGATGGTGGAAATTCTTTCATTCAAGAATATTGGTTCAACCGACCGCATCATGTCCTGAGCGGAGCGTGGTTGATTCGAGCAAATGTTTTCTATCCTTAGCAGAGCTGAGAGCTATCCAAATGAATTCCTTCTTGTTTCGTCATTTCTAGGATACCCGGATTTCCTGATACTAGTCGCAAGCGCTGTCGAGAAAGGGAAAGAAGAGGAATCCGGACTCGGATCTTTCCTTGGGGCCGGTTTCCGATTCGTCACGAATCTTCTTGTCGATCAGAACCTCCAAGGAAACTTTGGCTACTTCATCGATCGGAACAATACAGATGACGGCGTTGTGACCATTTTCACCGGGGAAGATGAACGCAGCAAGATAAACAAAGTCGATGTTGTTAATGGTAGAAAAGAGCTTACTACATGGCCCGTCGCACGATGCAATAAGATCACTGGCACCATGGGTCACTTACGGCCGCCAGCTAGTGGTGAAAAGCCGGTGGATGTTTTCGTGCCGGATCTCTGCCGCTCTTTACCGCTACGGTATGAAAGAGAAAGCATGTACGAAGGCCTCTCTACCCTGCGTTTCGTTGCGGGCAAAGAAACCTTCGACAACTCGAAGACCGACGCGTGTTTCGCAGGACCGCGTAATTTCTCTAGTGGTGAGTTCGTCGCTCTCGTCGGACTACGGCTTCAAAGAATCGAGCCGCGGGCCTCTCCTTCAAGTGAATCCAGATGAATGATCATTCTCCTCTTCTCAGGTGTCATGGACATTGGGCCTTGCAAGAAAGATGCTCCCCTTGTCGTTTCCTTCCCCCATTACTTGTACGCCGACGACAAACACTTGGATTCCGTAGTTGGGATGAATCCAAAGAAAGAAAAACACCAGTTTTACTTAGAGAGCGACCCCTTGACTGGCGTCACGGTCTCTGTGAGAGCGCGATTCCAAGTCGGGGTGATCTTGGAACGTGTCTTCGGACTCGGGTAAGTCAGGTCGTCTCGGAGTGCTACCTGTATACCTATGTCCCATTGGAAGGCTATCTAATCGACAGCCCGAAACAAAATGCTAAACTTGCGCCTCTCTCGCTCCAGAAACCTCGGCAGGATCTTCGAAGGCAATATTCCATTGTTCTGGCAGGAGTTGCAATTGGAAGCGTTGCCCCCTACCGTCTTCCAGCTGAAGTTGTTGCGTGATCTACCTTCGTATGCGAAACAAGCAGCCGTAGCTATGGTGGTGATGGCAATCGTCACTGGAATGATTTCCGTGTTCTTAGCGCACCGGTGAGTATCTCCTGCGCCTGATCAATCACCTATACTCGAACAATCTCTGCCCCGAAGGCACATCCACATGTTGAAAGAAATAGTCGCATTTTTCGAATTCCACCCTTATATCATTTCTCTGAATGCATTGGGACGCTGAGGACCGATCGAGGTGTCTCGCCAGCTGGGCGATTTCTCATTCCTCTCTTTTCAGGGATTGGCGGAACGGGCGTCAGATGAAGGTCGTTCCCGAGAGATCGCTACCCGTGGTCGAACAGGCATACACGAATCACGTCTACGAGAATCAAGACGAAGCTGTCCGATACAAAGTTTCTCCAGTTCGACCACAGAATGGCACTAACTTGCCCAAGCAAGTTCCTTCGTAGGCTGCGCGCACATTGCAGCCCTCATGGGGACAGCTATAGTATTATGATGTTGTGGTGGTTTGGTTTTGCCATATGAGTTGTGACTTTTAAATGAACAAACATTCGCTACATTGTTATGAAGATGTCCCTCCAGCATCCACCGGAGTATTCTGCTCAACTGGCACGTGCCTAGTCCTAGATAAAGACAATTCCTCACACGGCGTATAGAACGATGGAAACCCCCCGAGCCTCATTCCGCGGGCAGCTCATCACTAGAACGCCTCAACCATGTTTTCGTTATCCTGGAGGTTCTCAAAATCGGTTCGGGAGGAAGGAATCACGCAGACAAACGTGGAGAACGTATGAGAAATCAAAAACAGAGGAGCGCGGACACGCTCACCTGGCATTCTGAAGGGAGAAACGGAGGACCATTCCATGTAGAAAAGGCAGTATTTATGCAATCGCAGATTGTCCTACCTTATGGTGTAAACTGCTCTGTAAGAAAGACCATGAATATTACTTGCAAGAAATAAGTCCCGCCTCGGCTCGTAGCAGAAAAAGAGGAGACGTTCAGAGCGGTGCGATTGGAATTTCGTTTACTCATGATTTTGCGGATATGAGTGCAGAGTTCGAATAAACTGTAAACCCTGCAGGGTGCTGAAGAATGTCTCTTCTTTATTTTCGGATAGATCGAATGTTCCCGCTGAGCTCCGCTGAGCTCTGGACTCATCTGGGCTTCGGAGAATTGGCTTGGATCTTCGCTGCCTCGCCGATCTTCTTGCAGAGAACGCAGGTCTGCCCTCGATCCCGGGTCGTCACCCGAAAAGTCCTTATCGTACCGGCTCTCATGGTAATCGAGGATTTGCGCCTTCACCGTCTAGAGTCGGGATTCTCAATCAGTCGGAAGTCTACTAGGTGCGCTGAAGAGCGCCTATTCGGGAACCAATCAAACAACACCCCAGCCGTCCGCCTATCCTCGCTGTATCTCGAGATAATTCAACTGGCTCAGACTAACGGCCGAGCTAATGAGGTGCGCAATTTCCTTCCACTTGCGCGGCCGTGATTCAACGCCGTGACTCCATGCCTCGACAACACAGACCAGAAAACACTGACCTGTGTGCGGAGTTGCGTCTCTCCAGCCGGAGGCTCCAAGCCTGTGACGTTTCCCGTGAACGTCCTTCGCACGAGGATTTGACGTCAAAAAAATTTCTTCAACGGGGGAGTTCGCATTGAAACCCGTAAGCATGGGCATGCCGGCTGCCGATTCAGGGATTCAGTACGGGGCTTCCAAGATCATTCAACTTTTGGTGGGCGAAAATGAGAGCCCCTATCGTAGCTGATTAAAGAGCGGTCACGCCGGTCACGCCGCTTGAGGACATGCTCGTCCCTAACCTCGCGCTCTTTTTGTATCGAGAGAGTTTTTTCTCTTCATCAAAGTCACAGACGTATCGGAACGATCCGGAAGCCCCCTTAACGCAGCCCGTCTTTCGGGCGCTCCTCCATCTTCAGCCGCCGGAGCGTCATCGGAAATTACCAAAAATGGATCTCGGACTGGCAAGGAGACTCTGATGGAGCCTCTGTAGGGAATCGATTGCCACGGATTCTTCCAATAACTGCCCCGCTGTCAATGACCGTCGAAAGAAAGACAGAGCGAGATCTATCTCCATGAGCGTAGAATCTTCCGTCTCAGGCAGCACTCCCCTACGACTAGGTGTTCTCGATGTCTAGGTGCGCGATGACCTAGCGGGACCGATCCCCTTTTTTAAGGTTTCAGAGAAACCGTTAAACACACAGCGCAGCCTTCGGTTTATGACGCTATTCTCACCGCCAGAGCCGCCAGTCAGCGCTTCCAAGGTGAGGGAAGAGGAGATGGTCCGGAAAGACGGCTGTGTACCGTGGAACAGCAACCCGACGTCACACGCCCTCGATAGGAATGGCAATCAACCACATCTCGTCTGGTGAGATCATCAAGCCAACACTCTTCCTAGAGAAGAAACTTAGACCTCAGCTGAAACAATTCCTGGACAGACTTTCCGGTTTCGTCAAGTCCGTGGACGTTTCGAAGCTGCGCAAGCCCTTGCGCTGCTTAGATTTCGGTTGTGGGCCATCAGTGTGGAGTGCGTTGTGCTTAGCGAGAATAGCGGATGAAATCGTTTTCGCGGAGTACGTCACATCCAACCGTAAAGAAGTTTACAAATGGTTGAAACACGAAAAAGGATGCCGGGATTGGAGTGTCGCCTCGAGTCTCGTCGGCGACTTGGAGAAAATCCCCACGCGTCAAGTTGAGGAGAGACTCCGGAAGAAGTCTTGCTCGGTCGTTCCATGCGACATTCACGCCCAGAGCATAATACAGAGACCCAGAAAGGGATCACAGAGCCTATGCTTCTACTCCGGACCCGACGACCTCTCGAAGAACAATGACGACCTACAGACGCCGTCTAATGCGAATTCATCGCGACATACTCCGAGTCATCATTCGGCCGAATTTCCCCCCGGAGGATATGAAGAAGACCTTTTCGATATCGTTCTGAGTAGTTGCTGCTTGGAATGCGCTTGTTTCGACGAGTTGTGCTACAAAAAATCTGTGAGGAGATTGGCGGAGCGGACCGCTTGGGGAGGCTATCTGGTGCTCGTGGGAGTGATGGAGTGCCCGCGTTGTGGACCGGGTCGAAGTTTTCCAAGGCTCTCCCTCACCCCGGACATTATCAAACAAGCCGTTGTATCGGCGAATTGTGTGGTTGAATCTTTCGAAACCTTTTTCGTCAGTGGTTTGAGCGACACCTGCTTCTACTTCATGGTCGCTCAGAGGAGAAGCGACCCACACGCAAATAAACAAGAAACGTCTTTATGATGCGCCTCTGCGCTTCCCAATTATTCTGATCAGAAAGTCTCACGGTCCTCCGGAAACGACCGTTCCGAATCGGGAGACGTTATCGAGACAAGCTGCGCCTGTGAGACGACTACTGCTGGACCCTCTCGACGCATGTTGCGTGAATTTCCCTAGTGGCATTCACACAGCTCGCCGCGGAGGTCTTGATTCCAAACCCGATTCATCGCGGCTCTCCTAGAGGGAGATATTCCGAGATTTAGGGAAAGTCCGAAGCTTTCCCGAAGTAAAGAATGTCGATTCCCGAAAGTCTCTCTCTTCTCTTTCTTTAGGTATCTAGTTTCTAGCCTATAACGGAGTGTGAGGTTCGATAATTGCTGTATTAATAGCTGAGAGAACGAGCATCTCAGCCAAAGAATCTTGAGAAGCCACGCGAGACCGCGGAGCGTCCCGCTCCGTACTCGACGTTGTCGCGGCTCGGAGCTATGAAGGCTGTCATCCGAGTGTAAACGTAGTCGAGTTCAAGACTCTTCAAGGTGTTCCAGGACATCGCTTTCAAGCCTGTTGCGGCCTGTTCCCTGAAGCGGTATACTGTCGAACTGGATCATCCGAAAACGAGATCGACGAATCTTCTCCTACAGGAAGAACGAATCCGCGTGAACAATCCAGGAACAGTGTTTGATGCTTCCCTCTTGCATACGCAGGTCGACGAGTCTTGTCTTGAGCGCGTCTGACTTTCCTTCTCCCTGAAGATTCTCCTATAGGGAGAGCCTCCACCCCGTAGATGAGAGCCTCTACCCCGCTCTCCTGACGGGGGTTGGGAAGCCTTCAAGCTCCCGATGGAGCTCCTGGAATGGAATGACGATCGTTCTGGCTACTCCGAAGCTCGATCAATCCACGGGAAATTAGGATCACGCAAGATCATTGCGACATCTCCGGCACGCTTACGTCGACTTGATGATTGTCGACAGGAGTCTTCTACAAGTTTATTCATTGACTTCGATACTGACCACGCGGATCATTGTCCTTCCAAAGCAGAGAATGACTCGTGGATGCCAGGCGCACTGTAGTGTGGACCATTGTCAGCTTTGAGATTCTCGAGCACGTCGGTACCGTATCGGCGGAGGACGGACGCTCGGCAAATTGTCCGCCCTCGGCCTGACGCGCCTCTTGGACTGGTAATCAAGCTGTCGACGTCGCGAGATGACCCGCCGGCTGGCTCGCCGGGGACGGCTTCCGCGTTTCTTGGTCATAGCTAGATGCTCGACCTATAGGTTTTCAGCAATATTGTGGCGGCTTGTCTCAACCCTGGAATGTAGAGCGCGTTCAACATATCCTTACGTGCTCTTTTCACTGGTCATCTTGCGAGAACGGGCTACGAGTTCACTCGATTGGTTCTCGGATTCGAGAATCTCCAGATTTAAAATCAATACGGCTTGAGCAGCTTACTCTCCGTCGAGCTCGCCTCGAACTGTTCCTAGACGTTCCGTTTCGTCTTAGGCAGGGATCCTGGATCGACGGTGCGATGACAGAAAACAAGAGAATTTCGAGCAAGATGCTGAAAATCGAAACGGAACGAAAAAGGAAACGATTGTTACCGTGTTCTGCAACTCAGTCCTGCTAGCGCTCGAAGAGATAGAAATGAACCATTGCGGACCTGAATATCTTCATCCCCGATCACAGACGGGTAGATTCGATCGAAGCGACTGTTCGTCACGGAGAAAGACCTTATATATAACGAAAGTCCACCGCAACGAAGTTGATCCCTACGTGAAGCATGCAGATTTGAAGCGTGAAATTATACCCCGCCGTCTGCCCCGCTTGACAATTGCTGCAGATCGCTTTGTGCTCGGTCAAGGTATCGACGTTGTGGCGAGATCTCGAGTTCGGATGAATGAGTTCTCTATCGTATACTACGATCCCGTCAATGGACTTTTGAAATCGCAATCTTGCCCGGAGCAGCGCACGCCGTGGCTCTGAATGTGCGGACCCTGGAAAGAAATCAAGAAGGACTTCCACGAATCGAAGGGACAGCCTGATAAGACAACGGGTGAAGGAGAGAGTAGAGGAGGAAATGGATCGCAGTGATGACACGCTTCCATCCGCGAAAGCAGCGATCCCATTTGAGGTCGACGGGCGCTTCTTCTCGAGATGATTTTCCGTCATCAAGCTGAATGCGCAGGTGGACAAGTTCGACCTCCCGAGTTCGGCCAGGGAGGCATTCACTTCGTGGTTGCATGGTCGATGTCCACAGAAGGGGGATTCATCGGTAGCCGAGTCCGAAGCTCCTCCGCGTGAAGTCAATAGAAAACTCTCACTGAGCCCTCGGCCGGGACGACAGCTCTCGCTCGAGCGGCGCCGCCGCGGCGACGTTGCGGCAAGAATTGCTGAGTGGGCGCGGTGAAGCACAACGACCCTGCATGTCATCTCGATGCCTGCTCCGGGGCGGCGGAGGAACGCATAGACATCGACGGATCACTTTCGCGACCGTCTCCGGTGAAGGACGCGCCCGTCAAGCAGCCGGTCGGCCTATGCACAGACTCGAATTACCGCATCAATCAAACAATAGACGTCTCGGGGTCGGGATGATCTCAAAGTATCGGGGATTCTCAATTCTGCGACGACAACTCCGCATTCATTCGCCGCGTGAACGGCGCGGCATCTCATGACACAGAATCCGCGAGTGAGCTCGTTGCGTTATTGGCCGAAAAGGGTCGATCTTCCTTCAGAACCCTCCGATGTCAGACACTCGTATCTCGAGGAAGCTCTAACCGACTTTTCGGAGATGTCTCCGTGCGGTTGCTGACGATATCCCAGCTCCGAACCTACTCTCTCGAAGTTGTCTCATCGGAGTCGGCATGTCGCCTATCCACGCTTCCGAAATCCTCAGACCATCGAATCGTTGATAACCTATGACTTATTCGGCTTGTCCCTCCGGTCGGTTCCAGCTCGCTCAAACTCAGTGGACTGGTCGATGGACGAACATCGGATATGGATCTGGATCATGTCCACTGTCTTTACGCAAGGAGCGCTTCCCCAAAACTCCGAGACAAGCGCCTTCTGAGAGCCCAGAACCCGGAGAGCCGCTCGGATGCACCCGCCGCCTGGTGGGATTTCGAGTCCGCTTCCGCAGAAGCCTTACTCCTCGACTGGGGTCCGTGCTCCTGAAGTCGAGTCTCGTGAGATCGTTATTCTACTCTCAAGCCCTCCGACTTGTAGTAATGATCCTCCCTCGAGATCATTCCCGTACGCTGCCATCCTCGACGCTGATCAACAAAGTCTTTCGGGCTGGACCACCCAGCCAAGGTTTCCAATGTCCCGGGTAATGTTTTCCGCATTGCTTCCGAGGATTGATCCGGAGAGCAAATGTACCGCGGAGGATCAAGGCCGAATACCTGGGCTTCGAACAGTAATAGTTTGCCAGGAGTAGGGATCGAGCCTACGCCCAGCCCGCACCGTCGCGGCTGTGCACGTTCGCTCGAGAATCAACAGAAGCCCAGAACACCCGACCACCCTCGGTTCAGATGGAGGAGAACCCTCTTTGTTGATTCCGCGGGGTCTCTCCATGACTGTCAGCGACATCTTTGATCTGACGCAATGACTACGACTTCTTGAAATCAAGGTCACCCTGGCCGCGCGAGCGAACCTCAGCCGGCCGCAGACCCGCACCGGGTCTTACTGTTTTTACTTGATTGAGCGTTCGAGCTCGCGATTCCATATGCGAAATTCTCTGATGATGGCTCCTTCCATACGAACCGCTATCTCCGGACGCGGCAGATCCAGGAACCGCTCCACTCTATGCCCTGTAAATGTGCATGCCCGGAAATCTGACCATAGTCGATCAACTCTTTCTCGTCTATTGCGGCCACGGATGTCGCTCATCTGTCTCGAAGGGAGCCTCTCCAGGATCCTCTTCCAAGGACGCTCCAAAGCTCCGATTCATTCCCGGAAAATTCTGTCGTTCTCCGGGAATGAATCGAGTCCGTTGGCCGCCGCGGGCGGCCCACTACACACCAGCAGTGGTGGCGCTGACAGGAAGCTTCTGAAGCTATAGCTTGCCAGTCCTTGCCTGCTGAGCTTCCGGAAATCCGAGTCCTTGAATAAATTCGGCATCTCAATAAGCGTAACGCAGATATCATCGATGCCTTACCCCCCGAAGTCATCAGTAGACGATGGAGCTCCTCTTTCGACCTCCCACCTCATGTCGTTCATGACGATCCGATTTGCCGCATGAACCGCTTTCACGGAAACGCACACACGGACCAGCGATTCCTCGTTTCCCTCCGGGAATACCTCAGCTGATCATTCTCACGAGTCATTCGGAGAGAACCGAGACATCCACGACACTCTTGACGGCCACAGGCTACCCTGGGCAATCAGAGAATCTCAGGAGTAAGAGTCGATAAGAAACTCCTTCATGAAGCCACGGTTGTTCGACGATATGCACAAGGCGCGGGTTGAGAGAAAGAGCTTGGAAAATAATTTCTCCCAAGATTCTTACTGGGTCAGTCTGAAAGACGAAGCTATGTACGCCCCTGAGAACTTCACTGAGCATGAATATTCAGAGAGAATGATGGTCGCGGGTCGAAAAGCATCATTGGTGGAAGTTCAAGCTTCACGAGGAATTGGCTCGCGCTGCTGTGACTACCGGACATTGCGCCTCTGCTAGGTCTCAGGTCGATTTGATAGAGGTCCCGGTAATACGCGGAACCTATATCCCAATTATTTTATTCCCCGCGAAAACTACAACGGCATTAACACTCCCGACCAACCACATAAAAGGGCTTGACCTCAAGATCGCACACTCGTGATCCCGACATCAACATCATCGAACTTCGAACGGATGTCGAAGTTCTAAAGCATCCTGAATGGCTGGACTGAATTTCAAGTAGAAGACAGAGGCTGCGAGGAGCAGGGCAGAGACAAAGGGACTAAATGAGGAAGCGGGAGAGTCGCCGGGGATCGGGACCGCGGGGAAATTGGGCGAAGCCTAATGATGACCAAGCAGAGGATCTATCGGGGGAGAAATAGAAGCTCCCGATGCTGACTTGTAATGAGTTCGCTCCGACCGCTTGCAAAACAGAGTCAACATCAGTTGTTTCTCTTCATCGTCGACGATATCTCCGCAGTTCCTGTTTTTCAGCGGCCAATTCAGCGAGCTCTCCATAGAGCTTGCCTTACAGAATGATCTGCGGTTTTCCCACTTCGTCGATCAGGCCAGGACGGCACTCGTCGAGTTGACAGTTTTCAGCGACATCAGAGCCGCTCCCGTCGCTCGGACTCACATGACCGCACGGATAAAAGATGCCATATCGATGCATCCGATGCATCGACCGTTCCACATGGATAATTCTCTCCGTGGAGTTGGAGATTCGGCTCGTTTCTGCACCTAGGATTACTGATTTTGGGCCACATAGTGTGGATGAGCGAATCTTCCCCCTATCCATACCATGGATGTCGGAATCTTACTGGCCCATCTCGAAATGTGACAAATCCTCTGTGCTGCCGATCATTCTTTCAAGCTTCTCATCGTCCCCGCACAAAAACGTTCATTGTGTCTGTCCAGGTTCCGAGCCATTTCATGCTTCGTTCTCCCTTGGCTGTGTCAGCGAGTTTCGCTTATCCCATCTGCAGTCTGATCTTGCCCAGGGGGACCCGAACGACATTAACGCGTTTTTAGCTTGGTTGTACAGCTAGCTTTCAGCCGCGACAGAACAGCAGCCGCCCTTAAATTAAATTTATAAATGAACTCGGATTTTTATCTCAGTCCGTCAGCTAGCTCGCTACCGAGCAGCTCTACAAGAATCCGCGTTTCTCGTCGTTGTCGTCGTCATCATCGTTGTCGACGGTCACTCCAAATTGGGATTCAGGTTAAAGATTTTCTCCCTAAGCCATGAGGCAGCGTCGCTTAGGCCTTTTCCGAAGGGCGGTCGATGCAGATTGGTCGTTGATTGCCACAATACATTTTGCGAGTCGGGGCTCGAGATTTTTTGCCAGCAGGACCGTCGGGCATTCCATGACCTCATCGGAGACGCGCAAATTCACCCCGAGCCTAGCTCCAAGGGCCGATGACGGAAAATACGTACACGGTCGGTCCAAGGAACGCAGGCAGAAAATTGTGGATGAACCGATCCGACGCTGCGTTGCAATCCGTCTGGGGAGCCGCTGACCTGGTAATCGCAATATCGATAGACACTAATCTGCAGAAGGGGTGCAATGTTATTTACGAGCGGACAAGGTCCGTGACCGGCATTATCTGGTGGACGCGGGCGAACGGCCGGCATGGTTGACTGCGGCGGAAAGCTTCAGCGAACGGATGAACAGAGGGGGGAACGGATCCCAGGCGAGAACCACATCTTTCATCACCCCGAAGCCGGGGATCAACTCGTCTATCGTATTGGCTTCCTCGTCTCTTTGCGTTGGTAGACCCCAGCATTGCAAAAACCAGGGCACGAAATCTTCGTTCGAGATTATCGTGTGCCGCACGCGTGACTGGAAAATTTGTATGAGGTATCCTTTTTCCTGCGAAGATGGGCCGAGGAATAAGCCTATGAATGCCGAAACAACGGAAACTCTCCTCTCCTGGCCGAGTTGGTTGAGAGGTCGCGGGCTTTCTTCGAGAGCCCCCTATTTCACTCACGGATCTTCCTTAATGGACGCCTAGATGAGTCACTCCTCGCCGCTTCCGGAGAGGAGGTCGACGCGAAGCGTGTACTCCGGCGTTATTTAAACGCGAAATCGCCTACGGATAGTCACTTCGGTGATCGTTCTCGAACATGATCTTCGAGCTTATTCTTGCAACATGTTTCTCGTACCAAGCTTCAAGCTACCCCGTATTCATCTCCCTCCCTGGTGCTATGGACCTGCGGGTCTCCGGATCCTTCCCCTCCCAGACTTCCGCTTCCCGAGGCTTGTCTACCGGCCTATCCGCTACTTTGCATGCTGATATCGGCCCGCTCCAAGTGCCCGTTGCAGGACGACGGAATGGAGAATCTGATTCACGACCGAGTTCGGAGGAAGTGCCACACTCATCGCGTGTGCTCAGAGCCCGCCTCTACAATCGGAAGCGCCTTGGCCTCGTACGCAGCAAAACACTCCGCATACGAGGACCCAGAATCAGCCTTCACTCTCTTTTCTGGGATGCAGCTGAGCGAATCAAAAACGTTGGTCTGATTCTCTCAAAGTACATCAACACCCCGTTCCATGATGTTGTGCGCCGAGAACCGATCACCACGGTCGACACGTCGATCTACATCCGGGACTCACGGCGCAACCGAACTTCTCGCGACAAGCATTTGGACGAGCTCATCCAATGGGCAAAAGCGAATCGAGAAAAGCTATCCGCCGAAGGATCTGAGCCCACAACAAAAACTCCTGCGATTTCGGCAGATTCGGAGCACAGCGACACGGTCACTTCGGAGAGCGCAACCTCCACTCCGACGGAAGACACTGATTGCGAGGACGATTCCGATGGCCGCCAAGTGGAGCCCTCCGATGGAAACACCTCCCGCAGCGGATCGGAGTGCGATAACGACGAAGAAGACGAATCGACGACGGACATCCCGGAAGGGAGCGGAGAAATCCCTGCCACGACTCCGAATTTCGAGTCTGAGAACGACATAGTCACCGAGCCGGACGAAGACGAAGAAGAACCGGACTCCACGGAGCTTTTCGACGTGATTAACGAAGACGAGTATGATCCCGAGTACGACAAAGAACCTCCGAAGCCGTTGTCAAGCAACGAAATCGAAACGAAGAGGTAGTTCAATTTGTTTGTTCATTTTTTCTAAAGTTCTACTGAATAAATTATACACAGCGAGACGGAGACTCTTTTGTATTCTGGATCGATTCTCGAAGATCCGACCCCGAGTAAACAGCGTCCCATCCCTCACTTCAAATAAACAGGCGATTGACTGCGGCTAATTGCCGAACAAAGAGAGGGTGAGAATTGTTTGCTTTTCAAGATCACCGGCCGCGGGTCGAGGCGATGATTCAGAGAAGCATGTTTTCTTGTGGTGGTCTCGGGGGTCGGAAGTCTCACTGAAAGAGCCCCTCGCGGAGACTCTGAGCGTTTCGTCGCATCCGCAGTCTTTTCGGTGGCGCCTCGCAATTCTGAAAGCACGATGGCAATATTCCCCAAGTTGTTGTGTCATACAGCCGACATATCAAGTTCAGGAATCCCACACGTCGCGGAATTCAGTCGTCCATGCGAAAGCGTCCCAGCGGAAGTGAGTTCGCAGGCTCAGTCCGCTTATTCCTTCCGCATCCTGAGAAGACTGAACGTTCCCCAAGATGTCGGATGCCGCTCGGCCTCAGGTTCCGCAGCTGAACTTTTCTCGTCGTCGACCTCATTCTCTTTCACAGGAGAAGATTCTCGTCCTCGGTCAAGGTGGAATGCGTTCGCGTCCGAGTTCAACTCGTTCCTCGCCGCAGAGTTTGCTCCCGCCGGGCGCTCGACAGATTCTTGGCAATGGCTTACTTAAACGCTGCCCTTTGTGTTCGTCTCGACGACAGCTCGCTTTTCTTTTCTCCCATGCATATTCTCCGTCGGTGTCGGCGACCCGCCGAAACAGACGACATTGCTTGAGAACGTGACTGTCGACGACGTCGTCTTCGCCCGCCGCCTTCGTAGTTGTTACTCGGCGTTATTGCGGCTTCTTCGTGTGGCGGCGGCGGCAGCAGCATGGGGTGATGGCTGCGTTGTCTAGTCGTTGGGGACGAGCGAGTGTCTTTGCCGCCACGAAAACGACAGTCTCGACGACGACATCAACAACAATGTCGGCTTCTTATTGGATCCGAAGGGAGTCGGGCTTGGACGAGAACTTTTAAGTGCTCCACTCCCCGAGGAAAGCTTTGCTCGTCGTCGTCGTCGTAGTGGTCGTCCTTATCGTTGTCGCCTGTGTCGACGCGGGCGAGCACATCAGCTCTCTCTCTCACTCCTGGATTGCCAACAACGTTTTCGGAAGGCCTTCTTCGAGACTCGACGTCAAGCCAATTTTGAAGAAACTTCTCCGGCTTTCCCCGAAATGGGGTTTCCCCGTCCTCGCTCCCGCTCCTGAAGCCTCTCGGTCGCTGAAAACCGTGCGAAAACGGACATCCGGATTGAGCAGAATCGTACGATCGATAATAATGAACAAGATTCGATGCTTCCAGATAAAGTCGTCAAAATCCGCTGCATCAACTCCTCGAGTGATCTCATCTCCGACCTCGGTTCGCGTTTGCGTCCGGATCGCCGTTTGCCATCCAAGTATGTCACGAAGATTTAATCTGTCTCCAAGCGGCGATCGGAGGCTTCAAAATATACAGCTTGACGGAGGACAAGCACAGGTTCCGAGAGTGGACGCCTCCGTTCAAGGACGTTTTCACCGAGCGAGTCGATGGACTCAACAAGATGGCCCAGGAGGCTCGACTAGGAGTTCTGAGAGCCAGCGGGAGTTCACTGCAACTAAGCAACCTACGCCGGCGATAGTATCATTGCCCTGTGCACTGATGAGAATGAAAACTACTAAATTCGGCATTCCTCTCTACGAGCTTGAAGTACATCGATGAGCTAATCGGATTCCGTGAATCTGAGACCTCCTTTCGCGAGCTATTCCGAGATCATCGTAATCTTTGAACTCTCAGCTTCAAAGCTGCTGTTCACGATAAGGGAGAACTCTGAGTTCTGATCGAGGAAAATTCTATCGGAAGCGAGCGAGCTCGAGCCCGTGCGCCGCAACCGTTGCAGATGACTCCGCCTGTCTCCGATGACGGTATCTCTCTCTGCCTGGAGAGGGAGGGGCGTCGAAGTATGACATGGCTGTCGGAATGGGAAGGTTTCGATCTGCCTGACTGGGAATTATTTGTCTGCTGTCTGTCGCTCCTAATGCGTTTTCCTTGTCCGTCGTGTTCGTTGCGAATTCTCGTCGCGCTTTAAATATCTCCGATTCCGACGTAGAGCAGCCCGCATGGGCCTGCGACGAGCGTCGCACGGCCGAACATAGATTCCAATCCTTAAATATTTCTTTCTATCTGACGATGCTCTCGACATTTCCCCGCTATCGGTCGTCATGCGAGCGGCGTATGCGAGTATGAGCTTGAATATCTGCTGTCAAGTTCGCTCTGCCGGAGTCAAAACCGAAAGATTTCGAGATATGGCTCCGAAAACAGTTTTATCGCCTGCCTGGGTGGTGAGGTCGAGCGAGAGACCCACCGAGAACCTCGACGGAACCCGTCTGACTTTCCAGTATCGATATGGCCATGGATCGCCTTCTGCCGTCCGCTTGTGCGTTGTTGTCAGCGGCGGCGGCGGCTGCTTAGATTCGTGGGACAACTTAATAGAGCGCAACAGTGTGGGGCTAACGATCTGTAGGCGATTTGGGCGACCGGCCGACCCGAGGATGACAAGAAAGCCCCAACAAACGAGCGGAGCCTGGAGCACACGGAGTTGTTGTCGCCGTCGTCGCTGCGGTTCGTCGTGATGGTGGTCGCGATGACCACCAAGCTCCTGATTGAGGTGTTGGCGAGGAGGAATCTCTCCGCGTTGGCTACGACTCCCCGGAGTGAAGCTGGAAGCGACAAATGAGCTCTCCGTTGTGTTTCTGACGGACGACGCTTTTTACTGAGCGGAGTCTGCGGACAGGCGGGTGGCGACCGGCTTGGTTACAACTCCCTCAAGCCCATCTACGCTATCCACTGCCCGGTCGTGCTGAGTCGTGCAGTGTCATGTAACTTGGTCTAGATCATGGGAGCGATGACAACGGCGGACGGTAATGACGTCGGAAGCAGCGAGACGGCGGGACCTCCTGGTGGGAAGACAGATCGGCGGATGACGTTGCCGGTTTCTCCTTTTCTCCTCGAAGAGAACATCTCGCGTCGCGATTTATTTCGTCGAACCCCCGCGATCTCCGAGCTTCGTTCATAATGAACTGATTTGCTCATCGCGATATCTCGCCACAAGGACGGAAAGATCGAGCAAGCGAGAGGGGTCGCCGGGAGGTACTTACACGTATTTCATGGAGCTCGACTGGGTCGGTCGGGAAAACCGCACGGAATTCCTTCTTGCCGTTTTCTCGCGCGTTCCGACATTCTCATTCTTTGCGTTGTCGATCCAAGGCCCGTCCCAGCAGTTTGGAAGAATCGTTTTCGGGAACTCTTGTGCCTCGGTCGAAGTGTTTGCCGATATCCGAGTCCGCTCCGACCGCGCATTGCGTCGCTCTCTCGCCATAAACAGAACAGTGCCGACGACAAAGGCAACAAAAGGTGGTCACGAATTGAAGAACACAATGGTCAGAGGGATAAAAGGGAGTGAGGAACGAATTCGCAGCCGTCAGACGGAAGGAGCGAGGCGGAAGGGGAAGAATGAGCAAAGGAAGCGGTTTTTGCTGCGGCCAGAAGGGGAAAACTCAATTGTCCGAAGGTAGGGAGATCTGGCGGAAAATTGACGACGATGCTAACGGACTTTAGCTACAACCCCGCCATGCTCAAGTTCTAGAATAGAGATGATAACTGCACGCTCTACCGTGGGGCGCTCAACTGACCTGGTATTGGCGGAGCGAGGACGTAATCGAGACGTTGATCGACATACCTCGAGGAACCGCAGAGCTTACGCCAGCGTCCAGGGCGTTATCATGAGGGTTCCATGTGGGACTCCCCGACGGAGCCGTGCGAGACCGGATTTCTAGGAGCTCTTTCCCGCGTAGATTCGGATCGCGTGCTTGGTATTGCTAAAGCACCGTCCCAACGACAATCGATGCGACGGCGGACAACGCAACGGTATACCGGTCGTTTTGACGCTTGGAGCGGTGGTAAGAGGACGATGCTCACATCTCGAGTCTCGGAGAGAAGACAGGCACTTTGGACGGGTGTCGTTTGGTGAATGAAAAAAAGAGCTCTGAAACGACCGAATCGACGCGTCGGGAGGAAATAAATTTCGTTTCCGAGTCCGCTCCGTAACAGTCGCTGGTAGTGGTCGTTGCTGCTCTGGCTGCCGGTTGACGGACGGACCGAAAGACCGAAGGTTTTGACTGTTCTAATAGGACGATCTCGGAGTGCGAGGAACGGGAACCGAACCCCGGAGGATGGCGCCAGAGCCACCAGCTGAGCCGTCCCAACCAGTTGACTGACCGGGTGAGAAACTGGCCAGTCCCCATTTCTGCAGCTGGTCGACTTGTAGTCGTTGCTCGGCCGTTCATTGGCTTTATTACCTTGAGCCTCTCGCCTGCTCGCGCGCGCAGCTACACTTAAGTGCCAATTGCGGCTTAGGCTGGCCTTCTTCGTTTCCTTTCTCTTGCTTTCCGTGTGCCCGCCGAGCACAGTGGCCTGCCAACCAGCCAGCAACGGGACAGGGACGGGAGATGTGTGAGGAAATGGTTCTAATTCCCGGGAGAGCTCCATTGTGGTGCCATTGGTCAGAAGGACTCTACGGTCTACGGCTGCACGCGAGCAAGCCCGACGGCGTCCTTATGAGAGTCTCCGCACAACACCCTAACCCCTAACGGAACTTGCCGCGAAACCTCACGACACTTCCCGCCGCTCGCTAGACCAACTCGCGAGGCTCAACCGAGCAACCATGCGATCAACTCGGCCACTTCTCCCTCAGCCAGACAGAGGGGCGACCGGTCGGAAACGGGGGACAGGCCAACGAGAGAGCACAACGATGTTCGGTGAAAAGTGTCGCAGTCATTAAAGATTTCCTCGAAGTGACGACATCCACTCCACGGTGGTCGAAAAAAAGTTTGAGGGGATCGACAGACGAGACCAGTCACCGATCGACCCGTCCGAC